ACCCAACATATTTTACGTGATATCCCAAGCACGTGCGCTTACCACGAAGTTGTAATAGGTATGGAATGGGCGAAACGTTTCAGTGGTTTTATAGCTTTTGTCAAATATTTTTACACCAAGCAATTGCAATTAACAACATCTTCTGTGATAAATTAAGTAAAATTGACTGATATCAAGACAGTTTTAGAAGTTAAAGACTATTTCAAAGCACAGTTCAAGCAGACAAATATCTCTAAGTGCAAGGTCGAGCACGTCTTTGTATCGTTACAAATATAATATCTACAAGGCATGTCATCATAGAGTATAAAATTTATGTACATCGTAGTGACACTCATGATATCATCTTCTTCAGAGAATTAACGATCGATATTCAGAACTAAAATACTTACTGGTGAATGTTTGATGCCATTTTCCCTACTAGGCTTCAGTCGAGTGAGCGGTTCCATTTATTTGCTACATCACCTCTTCTCGTAAAAATACAATGTTTTAGCAGGTACAAATTAGGTTTGTTTAAATTGTTTTAAAATAGAACAAGCGTAATAATAAAAACAAAAAATATGGAAATTGTAAAGCTTACTTTTTACAAGCAATATTCGTTTCACCAAGTGCTTTAGGTTTGTGAATATGATGCATAATGATAATAGAAAAAAGAAATATTTATTTACTCTGCATGTATATAGTGAGAGATATATAATGAAAGAGGAGAGGCCCATATTTGGTCCTGCTTATTTCAATTGCAGTGAATGCCCGTGCTATGCCACTGTGCACAATGATTCATTAACTTTTCGACAGTGTAGAAGAGGTGTCAAATCCGTGCAGTTGCCACCATTTTACAACTTTAGACGTCGATATCCCAGCAATGGTTTTGCAAGTAGACGCCATACGGTGGGAGGCGTTCGGTGAAAACAACAGCGTCGCTGCGCGGCAAAAAGTTCCAGCTATGTACCTTGTTTAGTACTGAAGCGTGAAGGGCGTAGGGAGGCATGGCGCAACGTGGTCTAACTCGCGCACCCTGCAGGGGCGGATCCAAGATTATTGGAAGGGGGGTCCATTTCTTTTTAGGAATGACAGGTCTCTGATGCAAAACCTTGGCTTGGGGCTCGGGGCCCGCTGAAGGGCCCTAAAAATTTGGTATTTTAGAGGGCAAACGGTGTCATTTGGTAAATGGCGGCTGTTGATACACTGCCAAGCAGAGTCGGACTTTAATTGTCTACACTGTGCTGGGGACTGCCACTCTGATATTGGACCTTTCCAGCCATACTCTCCATTACAATATCAGGACAAATAGTCCAGTCCAAAGCACAATCGTGTAGTCTTTCTAGACGTACAGTGCCAATGAATGAATTTTATTTGCTATTAGATAAAGTAATGGTTAACTGTTTAAGGCTCTATTCCCATAGATTTTAGATCGATCTATCCCGTGGGAATTCTCACTAGATTACTTTCAGATGATCCAACTTAAATGTCCGTCCCGCCTACTACAAGCTGTAAGGGGGTAATTAACTTATGTGTCCGCCCGGCTGACAGCTATTTAGCGTGAACCCCCAGGGAGTTAGGTCGATCTAAAGTAGGTCGATCTAATCTTTGGAAATGGGGTGTAAGGCTACCTACACAGTTGGTGATAGTTCCGTCTCAGCGTGATATCCACCACGAGGCAGAGTATCCTCAGCCGCCATTTACCTGTGGTCCGAAACTGCAAGCCGAAAAGAACACTATTAGTGATTAATAGAAATTAATAAAAAGAAACATGTTATAATTGTTATGTTTATTTTTCACAAACGTTGTTTGTTTTAATAAGACAGTTT